TGATAGTATTACCTACTGTTATTAGTGAAAGCTTTCGATCATGGTCGATGGATTTATTATTCCATAGATTTGGCGAGGATATGTATGTAGCTTCATCGGAGGTTCGAGTCGATCGTGTTACCCGTTTGTTGACTATCAATCGAACAGCTGGCTAATTGTAAGTTTGATTGGTAACGCTGGCTACAATGCTGATGGGAACTGCGGTATAATATTCTATGCAAATCTAGCTTGGAGGCTACGGCCAATGGTGGATCGAAACGGGCTTTCCTTCGATTTTCACGAGCATTGATCCGACTCGAAATTTGTTGACGTATTTGTCGACGGTACGTGGCAAAATCGTAGCGCAAAGAACGGAAAATAAGCGTACTTATTTATACAACCAGATCACTTTTTAAACTTTGGAGAAAGTTTAGAAAGCCAAAAGTAAAGTTTCGAGACAGTGCGTAGAAAAGTAATAATACACGGTGTTCGGCCAACCCTGGGACAAATTTTAAAGGGAGATTCTAGAGACCAAAATAAGACGAAAATCAAGAATATCAATTTGCTGATCGAGGCTTCGTTAAAAAGTTATTAACAAAATTAGATTAAAAAATTTCCAATTATTCTGGAAAAATTATTTTCGGTTGCGGGGGTCACTTGCAATCATTTTTGGTGAATAGACATACCCTCGAATTCCTACTCACTTTCGAGAAAAAAATTCCTTACCGAAGATACAATGTCCGACCCTGATATTCTGATTCCCCTGAAATTTTAAAAAGTTTCAAATCATTCTGGAAAAATTATTTTCGGTTGCGAGGATCAATTACAATCATTTTTGGTGAATAAACATACCCCCGAAATCCTACGTACTTTCGAGAAAAAAAATTCTTTACCGAAAATATACTGTGTGGCCGGTAATGTACTTTTAACGAAGCCTCAATCAACAAATTAGTATCTTTGATTTTGGTCTCGTTTTGGCCTCTAGAATCTCCTATTAAAATTTTTCTCAAGGGTGGCCAAACTCTCTGTATATTTTTCATTTCCTCGATACCGATATATTTCTATCATAAACAAGCATTTCCAAACTATAAACTCAGGAAAGTTAAGAACCATACAGTGTCAGAATTGAAAGAAGTGAAAAAATAGCAGTATTTGGGAAACTATTAATGGATTCTAATTTACGAGTAAGTCTAAGAGAAAGCGCCGGTTCGCGCCACGAATTTCGCCGCGCGCTGTACGAGTCTGTATCCACCCCCGCGATTACTGTCCCGTAGCGAATTCTAGAGTACTTTTCTCTCCCCGTAGAGTATCGATTTAGAAGAGAGACGCTCCTTAGGCCACCCTCCGTTTAGTTTGCCCTTCGCGCGAGCAGTTCGACGCGTGTTTAGCCGCGCGACGCCGAATTATAACGATCCAACGCGTACCACGCGGAATTGTAACGACCGCGGGGTGTCGCTGCCACGTCGGCGAACAGGACACGTACGAAACACACGCAAACACACACGCACACGCACAAACTCTCTCGACACCATGGAGTGGATTATGGCCACGACTCGATGAATTAACACTCGAGAATTAGGTACGAGATCGACGAGGACGGGAAGCAACGGCGATCGTGCCCGCTGCAATTGGCGGTGGGAAATAAAGGAGTTAGTAGCATGGGCATGTGTGTCTGTCCGTCTGTCCAAATCGCAGCACGTTAACGTCGAATCCATCCCAATATATGTTCTTCTATATGTATATACGAACCGTATACCTATACAAACCCAGAACTGACAACGTAACTTATCCAACCCTATTATTTTTGTTAGTGGACTTACCGAGATTTATGTTTATTTTTTTTACAACCTTGCTAGGCCATCAATTTTTGTCTGCACAATACGCGTACACTTGCTTTCTGATTGTGTTTCATTCCGCTCAAGATTAGATCGAAGATTTTTTAGGGGTGTTAGAGGATAGTGTATTTTAGAAATTATTTTCGTTTCTGTGGGAAACAATATTATCGATTACTTAGGTCTTATACAGGATGCACTGCCTAATTTTACTATGTTGAATGGAATACGAATTGACGATTACACGTAAGATGTATAGAAGGAATCACACGATGCTTGAATGATGTTTTGCTACTGGCTTTTTTACAGAGATATCGAAGTTGTCTTCCATTTTTTAAATGAAATGATTTTTTACTTTTATATATTGTACTCAATGAAAGTAACTTACTGAAAGGAGGACGAATAAAATAATCTCGTGCTATCGCTTTGAAGGATACAGTACCTTGCCACTCGTGAATAAAGAATCAGTCCACTAAGATCAATAATAACGTGGCTGGACAAGATAAATAGTTCACCTCGTGTACAGGATGAGTCAATAAAAAATATCTGAAATATCTTGTTCTCTATTGATTTCATGAAGAAACATTATATCATCGAGGTGTCATAGTTGAGGTCAAGGTATACTTGTATCTGTCTTAACCTGAACTGTTATGTTACGATGAGAACAATATATGTAGTCTTGTTTAAAAAGACGAAGATGATCTTGATATCTCTGAAAATATAAAACATGAAAAATTAAAAAAAAAATGTTTAGATCAAATCAATAGAAGACTTGATAATTCAGATAACAGTTATCGTTGACTGGCCCTGTGTACTTGTGTTTCTTTTATTCTAGTCTGCTTTTGAGGCATCGATAACGCGGGAAGAGTGATTTTAACATTAAAAATCTTGAAATTCGTTAAAGGTATATTTTGATTTTTTACAAAGGATGCAGAAGCAAAGAAAAAAGAAAGTATTACAATTTGTTAATATTTTATTTGCATACTATAAAAAGTCTGAAATAAAATTCGAGCTGACAAGACTACTTCATACGAACCTCTAAAAGTTTCACTAATTTTAATTATTTATGGAATTATTTTTGAATCGTTGCCTCGAACCAGGCTGCCAATAGTTGCATAAGTGTACATACTTATTTACACGACTCACGCCGAGCTTTTGCACGCTTACGAGGTGTCTGCCAAAAAATGTGAGCTCTGAGTGCTCTGTTCGATGGTTGTTACGTTGTTAGATGTGCATGAGCCTATCGATATTATCGTTCGACAATATAAATGATAAATGTATATATGAATGTGATCGATTCCCGTGTTTTAATACATAAGTCTCGATTAAGTATATAACATTCCGATTTCATTGTTTTTTCACAAATCGTGATTTCGTGTTTCGAATAAAATTTGCTCGAGATTTTTCCACGTTTTGCGTGGATCAATTAGGTAAACGAAAGGAACAAAATTGCGTTAAGAAAGAAACCGACGTTTGAAAAGGAACGAGAAGAATGCGTGAATTTTGTACAGTTCGGTTGGAGAGTATTTTTTTTTTTTTTTTTTGGTGCCTGTCATGACGTGAATGTTTTTTAATTATTCTGATTTTTCATGCTACGATGAGTTAAAGGTAAATGTAATTTGAATCGAGCGTCGGTCCAGTTACCAGTTACCTGTTGTCCATTATCCGAGATTGCGAAGTGAAAGCGAACGAGCAAAGAGAAAGATAAATTAGTTCCATTCGGTTCGCTGGAACGGTGGCAAACACGAGCAAAAAAATTGAATTGAAATAATTGAACAATTATAAAAAGATCTAATTAAGGTCCTAAACACGATAACCAAGAATCATTTTGCTTTTTGATCAGATTAGGTGCTGTGTACATATTCAGAACCTCGCAATTCAATGTATTTTTCACTACAATCGTTCGACGTAATAACTCTTGCATATCTGTAAACAGTACTCGAGGTTCTGCACAGAAAATACAAAATAGTTTCATATCTAGGAGCACTGGGAGCACTTCGTCACTGATTTGATGAATTTCACGGTTGAATGACTGCAACGAACGTATATACTACACTCGAGGTTTCTGTGCAGTGACTTCAACCGCAGAACCTGATGGCGCGTGAAGTAGTAAAATATGGAAAAGCAATTGTACCGAGTTTCTTCAAAATTACAGTGTCGAGTGGAGAATTCACTGCTCCCGGCTCGCTACCGACGTATCCCAGGATTTACGAATTTCCAAGCAAATTAGAAGTCTCGGAGGAATTTGTTCCGATTTGGCGATTCGAAACAAGTCGATATAAAAATAATACACGTTACAATCTCGATCGTATTATGTTCCTTCCAACATATTCCTACATCGAAATTTGCTACGTAGAATCAACGCCACGCGATCCGATACACCCTGTATAGTATTCCACGGAAGTAATCCACTGATTATTTCAGCATTCACGCTCGGACCACGCACATCGGGGAATCCGAACGAGCAGAAAGCCACTAAAAGTTTCATTGCCTCGCGAAAGGTGCGGCCCAGTTTCGAAACTGGCAATCCCCCATTCGCGACCGATCAACCGGACGGTTCCGGAGCGAATATTGCTCGTGGAAGCGATCGTAACACGTTTTAACGCGAGTCTTCTTAAGCTCCCTTAAAACCGCGTTCCCGCGTAGACGCTTCCGCCTCCCGTGCGTCGATTCCCCCATTTTACTACACTTTTAATGATCCTTGCACGGCAATCTGCTGTTCCAATCTATCGCTGACCGTTTCCCCCCCGCGATTTTTACCTCGGTTAGCTCACGCTACTTCCCAAAAAAAGGAAACAATAACCGAATCAGACCCTTGAAACGCGAAACTCAAACTTTACAAATGTTATTGTGGAAATAATAACAGGAGTAATTTTTAGTGTTCGGCAACCCCTGGGAAAAATTTTAATGGTAGATTGAGAAACAAAATTTCTTTGAGAGTAGCTCGAGGACGCGTTTCGCTCGTTTTCTTGGATGTGGCAACAGGTACAGGTTCTAACGAAGATGCGAAATCGTTTACCGTATCGTTTGAGCGTTCCTCCCTGGTAAGTACGGAGCGAAAAATGGAGAAAGGAGGAAAACTAGTGAGACACGATTCGACGAAGTTCGGTATTTGCTCGGATCGCGTATCGCGTTAGGCAGTGCTTGCAAGGCAATTATCTAACCATCGATTTTGCGCAACTTCCACAGTGATCTGCGCCCAGGGACTGATCGCGAAAGACAAGAGCGGCACGTCTGATCCGTACGTGACGGTCCAAGTCGGTAAAGTGAAGAAGCGCACCAGGACGATGCCCAAGGAATTGAATCCGGTTTGGCACGAGAAGTTCTACTTGTGAGTAATTCCATTGTCAGCGATGGAAATACGGCGGCGCCGTTAATTCGTACGAACGAAAGGAGAACGGGAACCATTATACACGTCGGAAGAGAAAATTAATCTTCCGTTTGCGTGTATCAAGATTACTTAGATTCCGGCGCGAGCCCGTTACCGATTAAATTCTGATACTCGCGCATCGTTTCCGAAACTAATGGATCTAGCTTTTTCCGGCCGCGGAACGTTCGATTGCTCTTCCGAAACGAACGAGCAAAACGTATCGAAACGAAGCAGATTAAAATCCGGATGCTTTATGACGCCCGGCTATGATCGATAGATAAGCGGAAAGTTAATGATAGAGCAACCTTTTATTCCTCGATGGTCCAGCAAATACTGTACCAGGAAACGCTGGATTATACTCGGTAGATTATCGATTGCACGGTAGATAATGGTCAGGGTTAAGAAAACATGAATTATAGCTCTCTAAAGAAACGTTGAAGTCGCGGACGGATAAGAAAATCTGTAATATTTAAAAATTAGAATAACTTTCAGAGCTCCGGGAGTAAAAGTGTGTTTCTCGTTGTTAGCGAGTGTCACAACTCGTCCGACCGAATAAAAGTGAGAGTCTGGGACGAGGACAATGACCTGAAGTCGAAGTTGCGGCAAAAGCTGACGAGGGAGAGCGACGACTTCCTGGGGCAGACGATCATCGAGGTGAGAACGCTCAGCGGCGAGATGGACGTCTGGTACAACCTGGAGAAGAGGACGGACAAGAGCGCCGTGTCCGGGGCGATCAGGCTGCACATCAGCGTGGAGATCAAAGGCGAGGAGAAGGTCGCGCCTTACCACGTGCAGTACACCTGCCTGCACGAGAACCTCTTCCACAGCCTCTGCGAAAAGAACGACGGTGTGGTGGGCCTGCCCCAGGCGAAGGGCGACGACGCCTGGAAGGTCTACTTCGACCCACCCGGGGAAGAACTCGTCGACGAATTCGCGATGCGATACGGCATCGAGAGCATCTACCAAGCAATGACGTGAGTAAATTCAATACATCTCTGTAATCTTTGCGAATCAAACAACCGCGAATCTCAGATACTCCCAAGAGGGCTGCGGCGCATAGAAAACACCGCTCCAAAGTTCTAGACATTTTCTAAGATGCGTACCATAGTGCCTACCATCAATAATTGCAAGACATATTTGGTCGAGTTTCTCGTAACCTATTAAGGACAATAAAATACAGTCAAATTTGTGATCCGAGAAAAGCAAAAATCATTGTTAAAATCGGAAGTGATTCAAGAGGTCCCCTACGTCCAGACTAGTTTCAAAAATCTCGAGAAAGTCCTAGAGCAACGAAGAGCTCGGAAGTCCCAGCGATCCTAAGACCTCCAGAGAGTCCTGGTACCTATTCGATTTCTGGTGGACAATATCGGGTCATATCTGCTTCTTTAAAATCAAGCCCTATCGAGGATGTCAGGTTCTTTGTAAACTTTCAAAGTATACGCTATTATATCAATTTAGCTAGTTATAGAAAGTGGTACGAGTCGATTCGTATCGATGAAACGATCGATGCCCGACGCCTCTGCAGTATTTTCTTAGTAACCAAGTTTTCTTTCAAACTTTTCAGACACTTCCACTGCCTATCGACGAAGTACCTCTGTCCAGGCGTACCAGCAGCGATGTCAACCCTTCTGGCGAACATAAACGCGTACTATGCCCACACCAGTGCAAGTTCCGCTGTTTCTGCTAGTGATAGATTCGCCGCCAGCAACTTCGGGGTGAGTTCGATTGTAGGACACCGAAGACTACGTTTATTCGTACGGTAGCGGAAAAGAGACGGTACCGAGAGCGAGGGAGAGAACAACGGGAACATTGTGATTGAGAAATGCTCGTGCAATTTCCTAGTAGCCTAAACCATCCATTATTCCCACTGTGGTTCGAGCCGGCTGCTCGGGAAACTTTACAGCACACGTGTTCTCGTAGTTCTATCAATTACATTCTGAAACCCTTCGATTAAGCTCGCTCTTTTTCTGCCCAACCGTCCGCCTTTTTCTTTTTTCGCTGGAGTCTTTCGAAGCTGGGGGAAATTGAAAACGCCAGGAACAAGACGCTCGAGTATAGCGTCCAGTTTAATTAAGATTTTAATTAAGATTTTTTATTTCGCCTCGACTCCGCGGGCGCCGATCCACTGGGAAAGGGACCTATACCGATAATAAAACGCGAAGGGACGTACATAATGTCTGTGATCGAGAACGAAAACACGTTGTATGAAATTAAAGTCTCGCTTTATTTTTTTCATTTTAAGACAGAGTTTCGGTTTGTTCGAACGAAAAATAAACTATTTCGATAACCGAATTACGCCCTTGTATTTGAAGAAGAAAATTTCGATTTTGCAAAGACGGCGTAAAAACCACAAGAGCACCGGTATCGTATACGATTTCCCGTAGAAACGAAGGACTGTTGACTATGCAGATGAACGTTCAAAATTTGCAACTTACAGCGCTCGCGGAGAAATGGTTTTAATAAAATGATGTAAATTTTTCGGAAGTATCCTCGAAATAGGAACGAAAAAATGGTTGGTCCTGTTTTCAACCGTTTTGAATTATGCATGAATTCCTCGTTTTGGAAACGTATGCCCACGAACCAACAAAGTCAACTTTGCTGGGAGACTGTAAGGTAATGGCTGAGAGTATTGCCAGGAAAACAAGGTCAAAGAAAAACGTGAATAACGAAACGAGCAACTCTTTGAAAAAAAGAATGGTCTTAACAAAATCGAAAAAGCCGAACAATATGGGTTTTGTTGCAATTTTCATGAATTAAATTTAAATTTTTAATGGAAACAGAAACACTATTTCTGAAAAGGAAGGAGAGTACTTGGCATCATCCTTGTTGATGGCATTGTGTCTTAAAAGATACTAGATAAATCTTCCCCAAGGGATCAAGCGCTTCGTCCTCTGTTTGGACTTTCATTTTTCTTGTTGATCCTCGCTTTCAACAGTTCTTTTTCTCGCGTACGCCCCTGGGAACGCGAAGTCCTGCTAACCGTAAACAATACTGTCGACTTATCCCACTGGATTATCAGCGCCTTGCTCCCTCAACCCCTATCCGGAGAATAAAAGGGAACGTTTGCTTGAAAAATTAATTTAAACGCCTATCTTGGGACTAACGTAACTTCGTTGGAAACCCAATCGAGACTAATTGATAGAAATAATTTCTGGCCCCCGATATATAGAAACAGAACATTTCTTCATTTTCTTTTCCGAGTTTATATATCGAAAAGACTCAATTCTACGTTTTCCGATAAAATACGTACGACATACTTTCTGAACATTCGTCCTTTGTTCGGGCACGAAAATGCCCGGCCAAAGCAGTTAGACTTTCCATTCGACCGAACGTCGTAATTTACGATAAACTCGATACAGCCGCGAAATAGATTTTCGGTGCTCGTTCATGGTTCATTTCTCCGGTTTCAGAAAGAAAAGTTCGTGAAATTGCTGGATCAGCTGCACAACTCTCTGCGGATAGATCTGTCGATGTACAGAAACAACTTCCCGGCGTCCAGCCAGGAGAAGCTGATGGACCTGAAGAGCACGGTCGATCTGCTGACGAGCATCACGTTCTTCCGCATGAAGGTTCAGGAACTGTCGAGCCCGCCCAGGGCGAGCATCGTGGTGAAGGACTGCGTGAAGGCGTGCCTGCGATCGACGTATCAATTCCTGTTCGAGAACTGCTACGACATTTACAACAGGGAGTTCCAGGTAGATCCGAGCGAGGGGAAGAGGGACGCCGACGACCACGGACCCCGTTTGGAGTCGCTCGACTTCTGGCACAAGCTGATCGCCTTGATAGTATCGGTGATCGACGAGGACAAAAACAGTTACGCGCCCGTGTTGAATCAATTTCCTCAGGAGCTGAACATCGGTCAACTGTCGGCGGCCACTATGTGGTCGCTGTTCGCGGTCGACATGAAGTACGCGCTGGAGGAACACGAGCAGCACAGACTGTGCAAATCCTCGGCCTACATGAACCTCCACTTCAAGGTCAAGTGGTTGCACACCAACTACGTGAAGGACGTGCCCCCGTACAAGGGTGCGGTGCCGGAGTACCCGGCGTGGTTCGAGCCGTTCGTGATGCAGTGGCTGAACGAGAACGACGACGTATCACTAGAATATCTCCATGGTGCCTTCAACAGAGACAAGAAGGACGGAGTGAGTAACCCTTCTCGCCTTTTTCCTAACGCTTTGTACGATGGATTCTCGACGGATCAACAGGAAGCAACAGAGTTACTAAATTACTACAAAGGCGATGATACAACTATAAATTTCTTTCTATACGAAATCTCGATTCATCGATGTAACTATCAGTGTCGAATTTTTAAAGTGTGTGACGTCTTTTGTATCGTTCTGTGGAAAGCACATTGTCTACTAAACCACTTGAGATTGATCTGGAGCGACTGAGCGATTTTTTTCAATTTCACTTTTGAATTTCAATTGACTTTAACAATTACTCACGTAAAAAATTCTTACAGTTCCAAAAGAGCAGCGAGCACGCGCTCTTCAGCGTCTCCGTCGTCGACGTCTTCACTCAGCTAACCCAATGCTTCGACGTAGTCTCCAAGCTAGAATGTCCCGATCCAGAGATTTGGAAGAGGTATATGAAGAGGTTCGCGAAGACCATCGTGAAAGTGTTGGTTGCTTACGCGGACATCGTCAAGAAGGAGTTCCCGAGTCACCTGAAAGAAGAACGAATCGTACGTGTTGGACAAATATACAAATCTCAGAATAGAATAATTCCATTCTCCAGAACGATTCAAGAAATAACACCCTTTTCACAGGCCTGCATTCTGATGAACAACATTCAGCAGCTGCGAGTGCAACTAGAGAAGATGTTCGAGTCGATGGGTGGCGAAAAACTGGAAGAGGACGCAGCGAATATTCTGAAAGAGCTTCAGCAACAACTGAACGGAGCGCTGGACGATCTGGCGATGCTATTCGCGAAGAGTTTGGAACCAAGGATAACTGCTTCCGTAAAAGAGTTAGGAGACCTGTTACTGGCCATCAAGGGCGGCGGACAGGTGCAGATGTCGCAACCTGCTCAAAGGAACAACGTTGCCGTGGAAGCCGACGAAGTACTGCGACCATTGATGGTTCTGCTCGACGGAAGTCTGTCATTATATGCTGAATCTTGCGAGAAAACGGTGCTGAAGAGACTGCTTAAAGAACTGTGGAAGATCGTCATGAGGATTCTGGAGAAGACCGTCGTGCTGCCGCCAATGTCGGATAAGAGTGTACGTTTTTTATCATCGAAGCTCGATGGAAAGATTTATCGTAGCACTTACATCTATTTCTGTGTTTCGCAGATGATGTTCAAGAATCTGACAGACAACGCGAAGAATCTGGCGGCGAATGCGAAGATAGAAGACATGTCGAAGCTGTTTAAGAACCACATGGCCGGCAAACCTGACGTGAAGAACGCATTGAGCGGCGTAATGGTGGGTGATTTATTTAAATCAAGACAGAAACGAACTTTGTATCATTATTTTAAATAAGTGACGGCAATAATGAGAATTCTTACGTGCATAGGATATTTCCAAGGAAGTAGAGAAAAACCTTTCGCCGAAACAATGCGCGGTTCTCGAAGTCGCCCTCGATACCATCAAACAGTACTTCCACGCAGGCGGAAACGGTCTGAAGAAGACGTTCTTAGAGAAATCGCCGGAACTGCAAAGCTTACGATATGCTCTTAGCTTGTACACGCAGACCACGGACACCCTTATCAAGACTTTCGTCACATCTCAGGTCAATCAAGGTAAGGTGATCCTTAAATATATATTTGTATCGAGCAGCATCGTGAATCTAAATATTCTTGTGTACCGGTAGGTAATATAATAATTTCTAGCGATTTCAAAGGCATTAGCAGCGTATCGAATATTGATTAACATAATTACTTTCATTGTCAATTCTTATTCATCCATATAGGATTAAACAAATTTCTAGGGATAGAAATTGTCATACGTTCCCTCTACTGTTTATCACAAAGTACACACGAAATTCTTAACTGGTCTACGTAGAATCGAATTCATCGAGTTCCCATCAAAATTGATAGGGTCTAACAAGTTTCGTACATTCAAGGTAATTGCACCAGTTGTATCACTACTGGGGTTTTTGCCTCGCGTCGAGTAAATCAAATTTCATTTCTGCAACGAAAACAAATATACGATCTTTCCGAGTAAAAAATAAATTGCCCCGTTTGCAACACACATTGTCCACCGTCGTAATACACCGCGAGAATCGGGACGCGGCGACGTACGTTCGTATCTCGATAAAATACAACCGACGTAACCGAAATTGTCGCGACAGTGCCGCTGAACACTGCGTCAAAGCTACGTCAGCGTCAGCGTTCGATGAGCAGCGAGAGAGGTGGTGACGAAGGGGACGGAGCCGAGGGTATGGAAAGCCTCGAGGAACCCCTTCGCCAGAGCAAGCCCTCTCTACGTCGAGAGAGTCGACAAGGTACCAGAGAGCACTACCCTTAGAGCAGATGCCTCGGGAATTCTTGGCCGACTTTCGGTCACTCTCGAAATCTAGCCGCTCGTTTAGGACGTAGTGGACTGTTTGTTATTGCATTATTCACCGAGGTGTCTAACAGGGACGATCTCCATTCAATTCCCTTACGTTTATTCTTTTCCGTTATCGTGCGGAATCGTCGTTCTCGCAATCTAAATAACAATCTTTCTTCATTTGGTTTCCCTTTTTGTTAATCTAACGCGTTGCTTGCCATGCAGAGAACATTACAAGTAAGATTACGAACGATTTGATGAGAAATTTTGTTCTAGAGTATTCTGTAGTTAGTATTTCTAATTTCATGCCACTCTCTGTATCCCTGAGTATCTCGTCCTGGAGGGCCCTGAATTTTGCGTGGCAGCCAACGCGTCCTTTCGGTCCTATGACAGCTTGCAAAAGTTCAGCGGAACTATTCAATGCGTGTAACGAACGCTTATAGGCGTCCAAAAGATGATAAATGCGCTGTGGCCGTAGATGCTCCGCACGTCGCGTAAGCTAAGCCTCCTATGGCCTGATCAGAATTATTTGGCTGCTCGAGATCGCTTAAAATTCATTTGTTGCTTGTTTCTCGTCTTCTATAATATTTCTATAAATATTTCTATCCAAAATTACAATTGAATTTGTACAAAAAAGAACAAATATTTATTTATCAAGAATAAGATTCGATCACAGGGTTGACATTGTATTTAAGATATACGATGGATCATTTGTATTATTAATATTTTGCGGTTCTATATCTACCATACGAAGCTTGACCTCGTTTTTAAAAAGAGAGATACAATATAAAATCGCGTTAAACCTGATTATGACAAGCGTCCTTGAACGGCCAATTAAGTTTGTTCCGACTGTGGTCTTAGGATCGAAAGGTTCAGAAACGTCCCGAAGACCTCTCGGTGATCGATAGTTGTATTAGGTAGCGCTGCTGCTATCACTACTGCCGCTGTTGCTGCTACTACGGAGAACCTTGCCAAATCACAGTGCGCATCCTTTGATCATGTTCTTTGAGGCTTTGATTCGCAACACACGTATTAACACACTCTCTTCCGAGGAGTGTGCCAAGCTCCAACAACGGCGTCGATTTGTCTATCGACCAAGTACAAACGATCATGCGTAAAGTACAAAGACAGTAGACTGTCGAGAGCAGTGTACGTGCACAAAGAGCACCAGTGGAATCGTATGCACTAAGTTCCGAGGACAAGATCCGAGATTTGCGGCAGGCCAATCCTTAGTTAAGAGACGATGAAGCAAAGAAAGACATTCTGTAACTTCTGGACGCGACGTTTTCAAATTCTCCGAAAAGCTTGCGACAAAGACGACTTCATCCTCTCTGATCAATACCCAAAAAGCCAAAGTTTCATGCATACCGTTAGAGCATGTAATCTGCTCTAGAAATAGATACTACGTATAGAATCCTAGCATAAAGACTTTGAATTATTAGCGTCGAATAGAAACGATCGAAGCTATTTCTTCTTCTCTCGTAGCACTTAGCGTACGATATTGGGAATATTAGAACAGAAAATCTGATCGTTGTTAATCAAGTTCCAGATACCGCGGGCTCGGAAGAAGGTTCCGTGGGCGAAGTCAGCATTCAGGTGGATCTCTTCACGCATCCTGGTACTGGCGAACAGAAGGTCACCGTCAAAGGTACAGTCCGTTCTGTTTCACGTTCTAAAAACCGTTCGACCTGCCATCGAATAAATCTCGCGGTTTCAGTCGTCGCTGCGAACGATCTGAAGTGGCAGCTCGCCACCGGAATGTTCAGGCCGTACGTCGAAGTGAATCTGATCGGGCCTCATCTGACCGGGAAGAAGAGGAAGCAGTCGACGAAGTCGAAGAGCAATAACTGGTCGCCGCAATTCAACGAGAGCTTCGATTTGTAAGTGGAGTCTACTCGTACATTTTGTAATCGATAATAACGCACGATGTTCGAGACGTATAAATAATATTCGCACCATTTTCAGCATGATCGGCAACGAGCAGCAACAACTAGACTTCTACGAGCTGCACATATGCGTGAAAGACTATTGCTTCGCGAGGGAGGACAGGCTTGTCGGTGTGGCGGTGATGCAGCTGAAGGACATCGTCGAGGAAGGCTCGTGCGCCTGTTGGCTGTCGCTGGGTAAACGGATCCAGATGGACGAAACGGGCTGGACGATCCTGAGGATCCTCTCGCAGAGGAACAACGACGAGATCGCGAAGGAGTTCGTGAAGCTGAAGAGCGACATCAGGCAGGAAACGCCTCTGCCGAATCCCACCTGAAGCTCGGGGACACAGCGTTAAAGCCGACAGCGAAGCGATGCGTCCTTCGAGTTTGGAAAGAGCTCGGAGGTGGTGAAGGAGGTGCATTGTCCACAGAGGAAACCAGAGGCGTTCGGGCGTCGTTGTTGAGAGAATACACGAGGTCCTTGACGAGCTACACCGAAAGTCACACACGAATCGAGAAACAAACGCGAGATACACAAAAATATACACACACAGACAAGAGAAACGCCGGCGAGAACGACCGGTCGAATCCATTCGGTTTCGACGAGAAACAAGTCTCGGGAACGAGAGAACGCGACACGCGACGTCTTACGTACCGTTCCCATCGGTCGAGCGTGTTCTTCTCTCTTTTTTACGAATCACAGAGCTTCAGCCCCCGTCCCTACTAAAAAACAAGGAAAGAATCTACGAAATTATCGGACGTCCGGACAGACGTCTCCCAGGAACGGTTTCGAGCGAACGCGCCCCGAAACGTTCGTCCAAACGGGGTACGCGAGAAGAGAGAGGGACGATCGAGGATGATCGCCCACCGGAGAGGCACAGAAACGACAGAAGCTCACAGGACGGTGATTGGTGAACACGGAAGAATACACCGGACTCTTATTCGATTAAGTGCCGCGATGAGGGAGGATACGAGAGCCCTCGGGGTATTGGGAGAGTGTTCCGAATAGACGCGAAACGTGAAAACAGTGCTGCCAGTACGCAATATATTTGGTAATATTCGTAATGTAAGGGACGAGGAGAAGGAGTCGAATTAGCCGTAAAAAAAAAAGTGCGTCCAAAACGCGACCGTACCTCGACGTCCTCCGACGCGACAAGAGGTCGATGGAGGAAACGACGGATCGCCGGGGTAACCGCGACACGGGCGAGCAAAGCTGCGAAACCGACGCGAATCGGGGAAAAAAAGAAAAAAAAAAAGAAAAAAAAAGAAATATCGCGCCGCCGCGACGAGACGATGTAATACTATTTAAAACTATAGACCCTCGTGCGAGACGACGTTTTAGGCCGTTTGTTCGGGAAGACGAGTTTACTTGTAGATAACCACGTGAAAAACACAATTTGTTGACGAAGAAGTTTTTTCTAATAACAGTTTAACGTAGCATTGCGTACGACCAAATAGGCGCGCCGCGACGCCGATCGCCGCGCGCCGTTAGTAATAAATAGGCATTGTAATGTAAAGTACGTTCTTATCGTAAGGATTAACAAAATGAGATCGTAAGAGTCTGAATTTGCTGTGGTTGAATGACAACAACAAGAGGTCCGCTCGAAGGCTTCGAGCACTCTCCGTGAATCATCCTCGATACGAGATGTCGTATACGTCCGGATTTAACCCGTTGCCGCTAAACAAAGCACGAATCACAGCGCTCCGTCCGCTCTCGATTTTCGAGCCGCGCGAAACATCGCGAACACTATAAGAGAGCCATAGTCTCGAACCGTCAACCGGTACGGTTTTCGCGAACCGACGACCCGAATCTTTTTCGAAATTAAACTTTATATCGTTGTAGCTCTATGGTAACTCGAATAATCGTACGACTAACTTCGACAACTTTCCCAACGACCATTGTTTTTTGTGTGGGGGAGGAAGAAAATACCAGGTGTACACACGAAAAAGGAGGTGAAACGCTAGCTTCGAGAACGTACGTCGATACTTCTCTGTCTATTCGCTTGATATCACGTCGATATTACTCTTGTATATAGATCCTGTGGCAAAGGTCGTTCGTTCGTGGTCACGGTTCACCGGCGACGATCGAGCACCGTGGCTCTCGTACGAGACTTCCCCCACGAAACGAAAAAAATATCAAGAAACACCGGAAAACCGAGGGCGGACGCGTTAAATGGTCCCTCGATCTGCTACAAAACGGAAACGGTCCACGCGATAGGCGACCGTGTCCTTCGTTTCGCGTCCGACGTTGTACGCCGCAGTACTTGCGCGAAGCTTCGATCGGATCTCCCTTTCGAGAAGAGAAAAATGAATACTAGAAGAAAGGAGGAGACTAACGATAAACACAAAGATGCACGCGACTTTGAACCTAATGAATTTCATTCACCGGCCCCTCCCCGCGGCCCGGCCAGATATACAATTCCAGAGATTACACGATTATATCCAAAAAAGTTTCTACTACGTAGTACGTCTAGATATACTTACGTATTGTGTATAGTGTCTAAACGCTGATGTAGCTGCGAGCGCGGGATTTTCGTATGGGAAAAGGAAAGAGAGCCGCCCAGGAAAGGAACGATCAGCCATCTTTGATAGACCAGGTGCTTTTCCACGTCCGGATCCGTCTGCTTGCGACACAGGTCAGGCCTCGGTATCTTTCCGCGTAGAACGATTTCATTTGGCAAATTATTCCCACGTTGCACGCGCATACTGTTCGAAATTACCGCCATCGGGCTGGGTTGCTGCGCGCGCAACGGCGCGAATCGTCTCGTTCGAAACCGAAACAGAGAAGATTCTTATTTAGATATTAAAAATTTGAATCGCGGATAAACGATGGAAAAATTCGTACGCGTTGCTCATTGGATTTTTTATTAAAATTTGAATTACGACAAATAAAACATTCTTCATCGTGTCGCGTATGTACCAATATTCTTCATTAAACTTTACATTGTAACGGATATAACTCAAAAATATCAATTGCACCGCGAGTTGCGCGCGCGGTGATACAGGCTTACAAGTAATTTCGCCTCGAGTATCGCGCGTTTCTCTGCGCCTTCGTCACGGAAGACCGTGGAACAAAATTCAAATACAAAGGTTTAAACTTCTTTCGTTTGTGACTAGCGATTAGCGCCGACACGCCTCGACACGGTTAGAACGCCTAGATCCAAACGTGCCCAGATCTGTGCCGTACGATCGGAGAACACCTGAAAAATGCTTAACATGTTCACGACGGATTATTTAAATTCTCATCGTACACACGATACACGGGTTATTCGGAAAAGATTGGTATCGAAATAATATCGATCGAAGGATTCCATAGGACAATGAGAAAAAAAAAAAGTTTCGTTAGCAAGTAAAGGAAAATAAAAGACGGAAATTATCATGGTTCGGTCGAGACAACATGGAAATTTCCGTAATGGGTCGTCAACGTGTTAAGTAGAACGCGAACGTGATTTCGAGAGAAAGCAACAACAGACGTCATCCGCTTACACGGACAACGACGAGAACAATAGAAGAAAGGATAAGGGAAGACGGGATAGGTTGACGAAAGCAAGAAACACGGGTCCGCGGTCTCGCCACCATATTCATTTGTAAAAGTGTCTATTTTCTCCGCTGCCTAAGTACATACTAATTACGAAGAACGGCTGGCGAATTCGGCACCCACGACCAAGTCCGTCGACGAAAATGAGAACGGCCTTTGTGTTGAACGCTGTGAGCGTCGAATTTCCGGGTCGCTCGGCAAATCGCGCCTCGTAGACGGGGTTGGCTGCCAATTTTTCCTCATACTCTCCGCTTCGATTAATATCTCGTAAGCTTAATGAAAATATCTCGTGTATTCTGTGATAATTACCCCTTAAAGTATACACACACATACACACTTGCTCGCGTCTGAAACGAGGTACACGTACACACACGTACATACATGCATAAATACACAGGCACGCATACAAAACGATCCCAATAGCAACAGTATTTTTCTCTTTTAAAAGACATTTCGATTTCTATTCTCTATACTCGTTAAACGTCCGAAGAGTCTCGTCGGTGTGTGATAAAACGAAAGACACCGCGGCGATTGTCGCGATGTCGCGATCTATAGCCAACCCGGAACGATCACGAGGACAGTACGGATACGATTGTGCCGAATACGAAAACGGGGACGCAAAAGTGTAGTCGCGGGTAAACGCGTTAACGCGTGCACGGTGATCCGTTTGAGCGACGAGGATTACGAGAAGCGGCATTTTCGCCCCGAATGTTTCATGATTGCGAACGTTTTCTCATTATTCGCCTAGAAACGTAGAATTAACGAGGGTCGAACGTTGTCTCCACCCCTGTTTACGACGAAGGTTTAACGCTGCAAGGTGCCGCTTATGTTTCCGAACGTCTTTGATTCTAGAACTATTCTTCTTAAATAATTATTTGCGAATTTATAATTAAAACTAGTAAAATTTAGGATACGAGATAATGCAGTTAAGTTGTAGAAACTGGGAAATTTCTCCGCACTGCATTACCAAATTCAGTGATTATTTACATATCGTTATTAGGCTATTATAAAATTCCCGCGAAAGTTTAGAAGACGTGAAATTTCATTGCTTTAAATATATTTGAATTAGGAATAAGTCCCCAAAGTGTTAAACAAGAGTCGAAAACAGAGACGTCGAAGAGAATCATTGCGTCTACGGCTCGACGAAACATTTTCATAGATCATCCAAGTATATCACGAAGGTTTTGAGGGATTTGGAAAAAAAAAACATGAATAGATGATCCATATAGTTACTTCTTTATTAGTCTCATTGCACGAATCCATCTATCGTTCTCCAAAGAGCACGTACAATGGGAATAGGGTCGAGTGTTGGGGGTAGTTCTTGTTCGACGAGAGCGCGAGATGTCACCGCGAACTTTTGCGTCCGGTACGCCGACACAGGCGCAGAACCAAAGAAAGGAAATCATTCAGAGATCACACTCCGGGCTATATTGTGCCGCGAAAGCGTGTAGCAGGAGAAACCATTTAACAAAACGAACAAATGAAATAAAGAAGAAAAAAAAAAAAGGGCGAAAAAGAAGGACAAATATATACACAACCGTTGACAATACTATGCTTGAAGAATCGTACGACGCGTATATAATGTACCTAACAAATATATTAAAAAAAAAACGAAAAAAAAAAAATGATTACGACGGGATGTTTGTGTTTCGTAAGTAAAAGCATTTTAAGGAGTAAATTTGTAAATCATGCGACGAGAAACGCGTTTGCAGGGAGGAAGTGAAATAAATAACGGATCGCGTAATTCTGTGCGTACGTGCGGATGACTGCGTGTTTATTAGATAATTATATCTTAACGAGTAAAGAGTACATTTTCGTCGTTCCCACGGAGAGTGTACCCCCCACCCGTTGTTATCAAAATTTTTCACGCGACTTACGATGCGAACGAGGAGAAACAGGAGTATATTACGACACGTCGTTGCGCAGCCTCCGAGTATAGATGAACCTAAAAGCAATTGTATCCGAGTCAAACACGCACATTCAACACAAGAAAATAATACCTATGATACCGAAACCCAGGTCTTTATTAATAAACGTTTCACTTTCGTTCGTTCACTCACACGGGGAGCTTTATTCTCCGAGTCGCTTATACGATTGATAATAACCCCATTCACCGTAGCCTCGACTTCATGATTCTGCCCTCGATCAATCGGCATCTCATCGTCTTTACCACCCCCCTCGATCGAACGACGCACGCGACGTCAGCATTGTCAGGTATTTTATCGAATTTGTTCATTTCATCCACCGATCCACGTCTATGTACCTCATTCGTTCTCTGTGATACTTAATTGATCTTCTGACAATTCTGGCCGAGCTGGTCGTCATTACGATTCGAATGAAATTTCAACGTTGTTTCGTGCCACTTCGTGAACGTCATCGCGTCTCATCCTCATACTTGGCAATCATCGATTAGTGTTTCACGCAACGGGAGAACCTTAATCGAAAATACAGGCTTCGCGAATCGGTAGTGTCCGTCTTTTTCTAAAATATTTTGACAAGGGTAAGCGTTCCCGGCCTTCGAAGCTTATCGATTTTCGTTCAAAATTCTTCCTTTTGTCGTTTGAAATTATTTATATCCGATCAGCGGTCCAAAAATATGAAAAAGAAAAAAAAATAACGGGTAATTTCGCGGCACGTACAGAGGTTGACGAGGTTCGATCGATAAGTCAGGAAACGCGCGCGTCGCGACACAGTGTGAGCGAGCGAAGGAGAGGAATAAATTAAATGGCAAAGCCGTACGAAGGGCGTGAGAGACAAATGCGTATCGCGATAAAGGCTATCGCGGCAGTGTCTATCGATCGACGGAAGCAGCTAACGGAGAGCAGTTAAACGAGATGATCTCGCGCGAGAGTGAATAAAAAAAAGGCAAACGAGGGAAGTCGATCAAAGCTTTGTCGTTGTCGAATCATCGTATCGTGTATCATATCATAGTGTCTTGCGCGAGAGACGCGTCTCGAATGTCGTTGCTACCACGAATTACCGGATAGAGTTTTAAGTCGCGATTAAATGTTACACCGCCCTGATCGAACGTTGCGAACGTTGTTTAAGCACGGGCCAACCTAAACCTGGAGGCCCCGAACAATACGCGAGTGTACATAATTCGATCCCGATCGATGCAACGCGTCCACGTAAATGTTAAATTTCACGGAGGTGATCGCGCATCCGTAAAGATATACATATAGATAAAACATGTTGTTCAAAGTTGACTTTGGATACCTACTGTAGATAGCACGCATCGTAACGTCTACGTCAAATACATCTGACTTGGACGTTAGCCAGCCATTACGTAACGATTGCAACTATTTTGTTTGTTCTATCGGAGGCCTCTGGGTTTTCGACCGGCGATCAACGGAAAGGAAGGAGAAGAACGGAACTAATACAGCTAATCGTTGTCGACATTGTTTCTCCATCGACATTGTTTCTCCATCATCTCCGCCTTTGTCACGATCACAGTCATTGTTGTCACTGTAATTAGGGCATGGGTGTTCTTCGTCGCGCCGGCGTTATACGAAGCGTCCATTTGTTGCCTCCGGTCACACATTTTTGTAATCTATAATTTTTCTGCATCAACAGTTACGCGCACGTGTAAGATATTATTGCATTTCAATCGTGTAACCGCAGAATATATTGCACATACGACTGCACATATATATATATATATATATATATATATATACATACGCATACATATATACATATATACACGAAATATATATATATATATATATACATATATACATACGACGAGTGTACATATACATGATCATGGTATATACATTTGCGGCCCGGTGTTGCCTCGTGTTTCAGCGAATAATAGCGAGAATCCGACGAATTAAACGCAGCTAGGTGTCTTTATAATTTTCGAAGGGTTCACTTGCGATACTGTTAGACAAATCCAGTGAGAACGCGAAGCAGCAACGAGAATGGCACATTTTCTAAACGCCCAGTCCATTAAACCTGGAGAATTCCTATGTTCTGTATGTATCCATATATTTGTCTGTTATAATACGCCGAGTGCTCATTCCTAACCCGCGACATTCGTTTTTTTTTTATTCTTTGGTACGAAAGATATCGGAGGGTACGTAAAATTATTCACTGTATGTGTATCGATTGACCGTAAAGAGGATTTTACATCGTTTAGTTTGTCCAAAATCCACGCGGAGCGAAAGCATTGCCAAAGAGACGGCGCTCGTTACGCGGAGAGAATGTTACGCGTCCACCTTTTGTAAATGAGTTAAAAACGTTTAGTATTTGGGGCGCCGTTGCTCGTTGCACGTTGCGGATACACGATGGAAGCGTTACTTATTTCGGCAGAATTTTCCATGGCGCGGTATTTGCTCTGTCCACCCAATATACGCGGCACGCTTCGCTTAGTGTACTAAAAACGGAACCGTCACGCTACATGTGACCATCGTGTATCCGCAAATTAGGGAAGTAAACAGAACGACGCAAGCACAATTATCTCGAAAAGGTAGATAAATGATACATTCCGATAAAAGTAATTTGATTTTCTGTTTGTTCATTCCCGTTGTCCGTTCGCACAGTTTTCTCGTTCCTCATTTGCATAAATGTACCATATCCAAAGGGTGCTCTTAAATGGACAGCGGAACAAAAAGTGTATGCGATATAAGATGGTAAATATTAAGAGATAGAGAAAGGATGGCTTTCTTATTGGAATGGGCTGCCTCAAGGGAAGGTAATCCAGGGACTCTAATAAATCATCAAAACCTATCGGTGTGAAAATATTTTACTCGAATACCCTCTTCCACAGTCCTTGCGCAACTAAATATTTTAACTATTTACATTTGCTTTTAGAGAAAAGTTAGAAACTTTCTTTTATGAAAAAACTAAATTTGAGAAACAAGTAGATGAATTGATGGTATTAAGAATATGGCGTTGAATGAATGTTGGTGTTAAGAGCTACAACATATTTAAAATAAAGAAACACAGTGAATAAAAAAGGATAATTAAATTTCAAATTAAAATTGTTAAATTAAAATCGCATATAACTTATGTTTTAAGGCACTTATATATATTCTTTTTTAATCTTTTTATTTGCATAGTATTTCAAACATAAAACACACTAGATACGTTTTGAGGTTAGAGTTGCTATAATCTAACCAAAATGAAAATCAAATTTGGTAGCTATTTCTAATAGAAAAATATGTGAGATGGAATGAAATATATATACTTCAACATAATCATTAAGACAGATATTCTACAAATACCACCATTCGCTATAATCCAACATTATATATTTTTACAAGTATAATGTATAGATGAAATGATCGTATACCATGCTAACAAATAATATTAAGCCTTGGCAAAGAGCAGCTCCAAATAGAAGACATCATGACAAAGCTTCTTATTTCGCATTTTCTTTTTGCTTCTCTCTTGCGATGCACATATTATTCCTGCAAAAATAACGTTAGTTAATGCTAAGCTAGGTTATGTCGTTTATTATACCATGGTACAAATACCTATTAGTCGTAAATAGTTTACGATAGAAATAATTTGGACATACTCAAATATAAATTTTGCCGTTATTTAGATATAGTTTTAACGAAATGGTGAAAAGATTGACGTTTATACTTTAGAAAATATGTTAAAAACTCCCTATTTTGTAACATATGTAAGTAAATTTTGATATTGTTGATTTAACATATATATTTACCTCCACTCTTTGCTGTACCTGAGGTACCATATGAGCAAAAGGTACAGAAAAACTGCTGTGTCTCGATTCCATTACGGTTTTTACACAATGAGCCCAGTAAATAAGAAAAGCCAGCGTTTACTTCTATCGAGTGATGCGTACTTGAATTATGTAATAAAATCGATGAAGAACAATCGGTATCTGAACAATGAATAACTTTTAAAGAAAAACATTCTAATTAAATCAATATTCTTTATCACACTTCGCAGAATTTTTTCGATTGTTAAATAACACGAAACAACACTACGCAAGCGTCATTACACTGTTACATTAGTTTTCCGTATCATGTTTTCAATTGGTTTGACTTTTTGCCTGCGTTTATGATTCGTCCTCACCTAGGGATATTTATTTTAGTAAAGTAAAATAAGTAAATTCTCAGTTAACGTATAATTTATGATTTGTCACAATATCAAAAACTCAATACGAAATGCACGATCTGTTTGGTGAACAATTTCAGTAGTGTTTTTACAAAAGATCCTGGGATAAATACAAAATAATACAAATTGCGCACTAATTGAAATAATAACATTGCTAAAGAATTTATGAAACTCGGAAGACTGTAAACGTATGAATTTCAAAATATATATTATACAAACGAATGTAAAATATATAAAATGGATAAAAGCGAGAATTAATGTAGCTTGTATTACATGTGTACTGTAGAATAATCGAGGAAAAATAGGAAGACAAATAGTTGGTTTATGATATAATTTATACATAGAATAAATGTATCGTGCATAAAGTGTGTCGTATACGTAAAGTTGTATTTTGTGGATGAGGTCATTATATTATTTTTCGAAAGCATTATTGTACGCAACTTAGGGGAGTCCACAATCAGATGGCACCAGTAGTACACGAGAAACGAAACGGTACAGGCAAGCAATATCAGTCGATCGTTGACTGCGACCGCACGAGGACGGTAGGGTCGACAGTCGTACGCTATCTCAACACGAATCGGGATTGGTCGACGGTTCTCCCGTAAGCCCCGCCTACCAGGTGGTCGTTCGAAAGTGTAGTTGTGTAGTTCCTTACGGCGAAACGACGGGCGCTGCTCTCTCTCCAACGTACCCAATCGCGAGAAAATCTGAAATGAGACGTGTCGGCGCGCTAATATGTGACGGTTGAGAGGAAACGAGGACCAGGAACGTGCGAGAGGGTGGTTTACGCGCGGGTGCTACCACTTTCGAAGCGTGACGAGGAGAACGAACCGCGTAAAGAAGTGGCAAACGTGGAGAGCGTGAAGAAAAAGGAAAATATACGTCGAGAAACGAGAGAAGACGCGTGTGTGCCAGAGCTGCGGGGCAGTGTGAGAGAATCCTCTATTTCGGGGGGGTTGTATGTCTTTCTCTGTCTCTTTAACTTCTTTTTTACTCTTCCCTTCTGTTTCTCTCTCCATCCTTTACTCGTTTTGTTCTATGGGTGAAAATATCGCCGCGACAAGTGTTTTCTCGCCAATATAGTATGCGCCGTTTCGTATCGCGGGGTAAAACATAAAGGTAAAAAAAGTGCTTCGTTTAACCAACAAGGACGTCGTCAGCTGTGTGCGCTTTTACGAGGGGGACGTGTGCGAGAGAGAACCCGCTGCTGAGAGACAGAGAAATGGCGGCGCTGGTGGCAGGTGTCCAGTATGGTTTGTCGTCGCACAGTAATTTTCACGAAAACAAGTCTCTGATCTTTGTGAAGCTCACCGACTCGGCGCAACGTGCCATCGAGGACTTCCTGAGGAATCGGGTGAGTAAATCCTATTCTTATTTCAAGGCAGTTAGTCTCGGTCTCTTTTTTTCCTTATGTATAGGCTAGGATCGCGAGCTTGTGGCTCCGCGTGTGTATAGGTGTGTATGTGCGCGCCTCTGCACGTCGTCACGAAGCGGCCGTGTATGTGCGTACGTGTGTCGTAATGTCGTGCCAAGGAAAGAGATACTCGATCGTCAACTCGCTCGCCATATTTCGTGTGGAATTTCGTTACCGCGGCCATCGATGAGACCTACCATCCTTGCTTTTTCAAATTACCACGAACGTTAATTATTCGAACCGAGATAAGTGTTACGGCGTCGTTGAAACCAGTACGAAAAGATCCTAGAACAAACGAATACGAGGCCACGTTGGTTCGTAGCAGCTGGTTACTACTCCACAATTTTTCACCATTGTTCGGACATGGTTAATACAAAAATCGAACGCGATTCTGTTTAAAACTGTCTCAAGTGTTCTTTTCACGATCTTGACTCGTTCGACTGCATCGCTACGATGTATCCGTATGGTTTGACAACGACATTACGTAATAAGAGGACTGACAAGGCAGTTAGCTTGTTAGATCGACTTCCAGACTGCTCCAGTGTCTGTTCGAAAAACCCGCTTTCTCCGTTCCATGGTAAAAACAGCTCGGTCTGAATAACTTATCAGGAATCGCGTTACTTTTTCGCATTCGTACGACGCGAAGATAATCATCGTAGGAATAATCTATTAGTAGTCACCAGCTTTAAACTCGCGAAGCATGATTTCTGTGCAGCTTAGCTTTTTCTTTAGTTGTTTCTATCGCCTCTGTCTTGGTTGATATTTAAAGGTAGCCGTTCTTGGGCTTCACCCGGAGACAGTGACTTCGTAGTTTCGTAGAGGTTATGTTTGGCCACCATCTGCTCTCCTCGGTCTCGTGAAACATTGCGTTTACATCGCAAACGTTTCATAGGATTTGTTTGTTGGAAAAAATGGCATGAGTATGATCGCGCGATAGCGTCAGGAAATCACCACGATCGCTGATTCTTGCACCATCCGATATATCCTAACCTCTTGGACGAGATTCGAAAGTAAAGTCGTCAAAGGGGCGTGCCTTTCGTCAAAATATCGGCATTAAAGCCAAGCGCAGTGCATGTAACATTTTGGCTCGCACGTATCGGCGACAATAACATGTATGTTAAAAAAAGAAAAAAAAAGAGAAAAGAAATTTCGTCGAATGGAAAAAAAATGGAACAATATCTGCACGGATTTTGCATGGATCGTTGCTTATCGTTGGTTTTTCTCCCGCAACGTGTGTTCAAACGTGTGGACAACGATTCGATTCATGAAGCTTAAAAAATAATCGATATTGCTTCGTTCGGTGCACGAAATTTCAAACAAATCTACAGTTTTTTAACTTGAGCGTGAAATTTCCCTTTCCATATGTTACCGGACAGTATCGATCAGTGATTGATTCGGTGTTCGGTCAACGCTATCTGCGACATACCATCAATTATGCTTTTTACTCGATTAAACGTAGCCTGATAAATGTTCAATTATTTGTACAAATCCTATAATTAATTACATATGTAGACTCTTTGCGGAATTAGGATTATTTTGAAACGAGCTTAAATAAAAAATTTAGACTAAACGTACACATTAAATATTTAACGAATCGTGCGTTATATTCCGCGCAGATATTTACCGTTGGTTCGAATTTGCATGAAATTCACTTTAGGCGCGTCCACAAATTCCGAACGCAAGGGTTGAGCACAGAAATCTTAATCACTGCTGGCCAACGTTTATGAATAACACAATAACCTAGTGTAAAATAGGATGTATTATGTTACATTACCATAGATCGTAGCATAGTTTTCTCGTTATCCTCTGTAAATGCTGCGTTAAGATGGCGGACCCTTATTTAAAACAGTGCATCTTGATCCCCCCTCTCGTGGCCCCCAAGAAATTGAACGCGACCCGCCGCGGGAGAGCGGGGGCATATAACCCCCGTTGAGAATTCCTGATTTAAAAGAAACGTCACGGTGTTTTTCTTTCCGATTCCAACGACGCTTGCGCATCGTAGCCGAGCAAAAGTTTTGCTTCGTAAGCGCAAACAGTTTGAAACGCAGATAAACAGCGGCATGCTCGAAGAATCCGCGAAATTGCGATCGGAATGCGGTAAAGCGTTTATTCGTTCCACATCAGGAAGCGGCTGTATTATACTCGCGAACCGTACCGAAGCTCTCGCACGCTCTCGCGGTCCTTTCGTGCGGATAAATATTTTTAGTTTCGCGTTGTCGAACGTGTAATTTGCACAACCGATGCGCGCGCACAATAATCCTTCAATGGATGTACCAATAACCACTTTATTCTTGCTCGATGAGTCAAAGAAACACGAACCGTTGATAATGTGTTTAAATGTTTTATTTTGTTCGAAATCAATATATTTCTTTGTTTATTTATTTTTGTCGTATCACAATTTTTGAACGATACGTATATTTATACGTACAGGTAACCCTCCTATAACACGGTAGATAGGTTCCTAGAAGATTTCGTGTTGTGTGAAACCGTGCTATATGAGACCCAGAGCCAGAACAAAAAGGGGAGTTAGGTTCCGAAAATTTATTAAAAACAAATATTTTTTTTAATTCTACATAAGCAACTTACTTTTTATGAAAAATATAAATGTATCTATAACACAAAACAAAAAAAAAAAAACAAAAAATATTATTTTAATTTAACGCAACCTTAATTTAATAAATTATAATTTGTTTATATTTTTTCATGTAAAATCACTATAGTTCGTTATTTCTTCGCGTCATTATTTTAAGGTAATTTAGTTTTTAAATATATTAAGCAAAAATCATGTTATCCAGTGTTGTACAAAGGTTTTCGCAATGTTCTTATCGTGTTAAAGCGAAACCATGTTATAAGATGCCGTGTTGTAGAAGGGCTATCGCAATTTATGAATCGTGTTATAGCGAAACCGTGTTATAGGATGTCGTGTTGTAGGAGGGCTATCCTTGGGCTTATAATGAATTTGTTGAATGCAAACTCTGTCTGCCTTTCTCGACCGAATAACGCGTAATTCGTTAACGAAGGCACATATGGCGCTTTTGTGCGCCGAGGCGGAAACGCAAATTGTTCTAACGTTCAGACGTCAAATGCATTTGTCTCGACTTATGCTGAACCATAATTGGTGTATCAGCCGGTGGAACGACTTCGTCCCGAAGCGTTTCTATCGCGAGAACAGTGAATTTCTGGAACTCTTTAATCCTTTGTAGGTTCTCCTATCAAAACGAACTCGGTGTTTGTAACTCTGTTTCTCAGTCGGTTTAACGAGATCAGCTCGACATTGAATTTTATGACAATTGGTACGCGTTCGTGGAACCCCAGGTACATTTTCATATAAAATTGAATCGATACGTATGTTCCACAGAGGAATATTTTATGCTTATTATGTAATGCGGCACCGTCTGATAAGATAAGACTCAAACGCTAAAACAACAACATACGTATAAGCTACACGATGTTCGCGAATATGATTAAATATATTCCGATCGATCGAATCGAAAGCACACGAATAGAATTTTGGTCGCAGAGGGTTGAACAAACAAGCAAAAATCCGCGTAAACGTTCGACTAAAAAAAAAAGTCAAACAGCGGTCGATCGATATAAAATTCTTATTCAAATTCTAATTCTTTCCTCGAAAAATTCTTATCAGTAAATTAACGACGAATATGTTTAACGGTATTGTGCACTTTGATAATTCAGCTTAGCGTCGTTTAAAACAGTTATCTTTCCTGATATCAGGTAACTTCGCGAAGTTTTGCGTTTCTTTTTTTTCCCCCTGTAAATTAATTTTATTCACGAAAACCGTGAGCTTACGCGCGAGAAACGTTCTTTACGCGATGAATCGTTTTTTTATGACTTTTCTTACCACCAAATCAATTTGTCGTATAATATATTTTCTTACTTTTCGGTTCTGTGATCGAAGATTGCTCGACCAACTCGCGTCGAGATCGAACGAATAGTATTTATATTGCGTTTTTGAGTCGATTTCTTGTCTTTGGGGTTTGAATAGATTCGGCGGAATTCGAAATTGGTCTCCGTGGCCTCGATGCAATTGCATAACAGTTGCGTCGCGATTGTATATTGCACCTACGCGACGAGAACACCGTAGGGTACCGTCTCGAATGCAAACAGGGAAAATACGCAACGTTTTGCTGATAAAGAAAGAGCGAGAGTGGGTCGAGAGGGGGGGTGGGGGGAGACGGTGGAAGTGCAGTTTGCGGCCATCAAGTAATTCAGGCCAGGGAGCCGCGTGTTAACGACGATACTGACCTTGAATGTCAAGACTCTATCACGAACGTCTGCATGCGAACGAATACAATGGACAAGAATGTCCCAACCATTTCTAGATGCAAATCGTTTGAACGTCGCGGCCCTAGGATCCTTCGAGCTTTTCCTGACTCGTCCCTAGGTAGTCCAGGGGTAGCTTAAATTCGGGTATCTGGGATTGGTGTTGTTTCAAGATAGCGGGGGAACGCTGGATGCCCAAGAACGAACCTACTTTTCTTTTTAATTTAACTTTTTTTTTCATTCGGGAGCATTTATTTTAAGATACGAACCGAAGTTGTACACTTTCGACTCACTCATCTCGTAACTATTCTCCAACGATCACTTTTTTCCTGCATATTTTACTCCCGAGCTTCTCCGCCGACTATTTGTTCACTTTTAACGATTAGAATAGGAAAGTAGTTGCCCTAAATTTTTTATAGTCTCAATTCCGGTCATCTCTTTCTTGATTCGATATTGGAACGAAGAGTAGACCACTCGTTGAAAGTTTCGACAGTGATTAAAATTACCGATTATCGTCGGACTCTTCGCGTCTTTCGGTCCCTTCTGTTCGAGCAAGTTCGGAATCGACAGGAACAACTGTCGTTCTATTTCGACAACGGATTTCGTTTCCGGCGACTGGCGGATTATTGGTAACCCACGCGACGACACGAGAGCAAGAA